AATATACAATTAAATAACAAGAACACTATCACATTTTACAGGACCACTGTAGGAGACAGACAGCTTTGGGAAACAACAAATCTCAAAATCACAGAGTTTAAACTGCTGCCCTACTCACCTTACAATAAATGAATATAATTGAACCTAGGGCAAGTTACATCACTTATTTAGCCAATCATAAGTTATACACATTAAAAGGGAAAGTGTGACATTTTGGCAATTAAGCCTTTTCTTCTATTTCCCCAGAGTCCGATGAACTCATGGATGCCATTGTTGTGTCTCTGCTTGCAGTTTGAAGGAAGTGGAAGGCCGTTTCTGGAGCCATTACTAACTAGTGTTAGCACAATGACTAGAAGTATACAGGAACAGCTAGCATGCTAGTTGTTCCTGTACACTTCCAGTAGAAAAAAGGGCTTAATTGCCAAAATGTCACAGTATCCCTTTATTAAGACCAATCACTGTGGAAAATAAGTCACCCTATGCCCATGCATGAATTGCAGCATTATTTAATAAAGTCCATAGTTTAATCAAAAAGTTAGCCACATTTAGAATGTTAAAGGTCAGTGCTGATGAGCACCTTACATGGGGAAAGCACAGAAATATCACCACTTATCCTTTCAGATATAGATTAAAAAGGTTTCATATACAGGCCTCCCAACTTCCATCATTCTAACTATAGACACGCAAATTGATGTGGATATGTCTGCCTGTTGTCACATTGCTTTAAGCGTGCTAAAGCTGGTTGACTCATCAGCTTTTTGTGAGCTAACGCTAACTCTCCTACATCCACTGTATACGTCTCTCTTGGCAACTGTGAGCTCTGGAATGATGTGTTCGCTCAATGTAACGCCCTAACCTGCTTTTAAAGGCTTAATGACGTTGCTCATGCAGGTGTGTCATTTCATTTGACAGAAATAGCTCAACCATTACTCAAGGTTGAAAAATACGTGTTTTTTCCCCTTCAACATTTAACTCTAGTCATCCCGATCTCATTTTAAAACACCAGCCATAACAAAGCGAGTGACTAACCAGGTTGTTGGATGGCTCATTTTGCCTGAGTGAGACAGTGGTGCATTGATCAAGAGGGAGTGTGTGGGAGTTCTAGATGAGAAAGCTGGCAGTTTCTAAAGATGTTTGTCACACGCTGGAGTAATGGGGGCCCTGCAGGTAGTGATGCCCTGAGGCGATGCACTGGAGCAGCCAAATCTAGGTAGGGTTGGCATTGAAACGCTCTGACAACAATGTGCCAATGTGCATGATGGGGCTTCTCTCAGCAAGGAGAGGCACACAGACAGGCACAACACACCTCTTCAATAGTTATGCCAAAAATTGAGTAGGGGTGTTGGAGGATACTCAATCTCACAACACGTCAATTGACTATCATGTAGAAGCTCCAAACATTTGAGTCCAAAAAACGGAAGACAAACTCATTCCTATTCAGACCTGGGTAGAATACTTATTCAAAATATCGTAGTTGCGCTTGATTTAGCTTGTCAGGCACAACGGCACTAACAGAGTAGTCATGCAGGACAGGATAACTTTACCCTAGGCACAAGCCGGTCTGTCCCCTTACTGCATAGGCTATTTCAGTGGTTCATGTCTCTCTCCTCTTATCGCTCCGGCCCACCCTCTGTAATCTTAATAGAGATCACACTGTAGGCCTACACCTCGACAGTGTGCTGACCCCCGGCGTGGCCTCTGCTTATCGGCCCACCACAACTCTCTCTCCATCCACAACGTCCTCTGATGCCGGCCTCACTGGGGCCCTGGGAGCCATTTTGGTGCCGCGGTCACTCGTTTCCTTAAAGAAAAAGCGGAAACTGCACGGTAGGTCACAACGGATAAAGAACCCCCATCAACAAATGTAAAAGAGCGACGTGGATGGACGTGTCTAAAGTCGAGCGAGGCGCCACTCGACACGACGCGATTAGCTACTCAACTTGGGTGATTTACAAAAAGTATTTGCATAACTGCCCACGGATTCTCCAACTCAATTCCCTGTGCATAAACAAATCAAATCGAATATAAATAAGGCCATAAAAAGCAACAAGCCGAGCGGTTCCGCGTGTTGTTTCCCTGGGACTTTGCCCTTGTGGGGAAGCACGACACATGTAATTGGATGTAATAAATAACAGTGGAGAGATGTAACTCTACAGTATATCTAGGACCTTTGTGGAGAGGAGAGGTTGTTTGATGTTGGGTTTGGGTGATTGATGCTAATGTTAATGCTAACGGGCGGCTGCTTTATTTGCTTCTTTAATCAAGGACAGTATCATCGAAGCCATTGCACTGAGGTATAGGGATCCGAACGAATAGACGCAATGTAATAATCATAACATCGTTCAATAACCAGTTGCTCGCACAAGGGTGGGAACGAGGTGAATGGCTCATCCATGCGTGGGTGACAAACAAGCAGGAAAAAAGATCTGACAAGACATTTCACATTGCTTTTCCCCCTCCCCATGAGAGATAATGACAGACCCGTCATCCACCGAGCAGAAAGTTACACTTTTCACATCACAACACCAGGTGACAACCTGGCGGGCTCGCTCGGTGCACTCTGATTGGTTCCCTCTCTCAGGGATTGCTGACAGAAGTCAGGTAACATAAAGAAGAGAGAACTGAATGAAGCGCAGGACACAGACACACAGCCATTGGCCATCAGTGGCCAGGGCACCTGGCTGGTAAAGTAATTAACCCTGCCGAGTGGTTGGCGTGGAAACCACTGACTCCAAGTGTCCCACCCCCTCCCCCTAGTTCCCTTGGCGATGATGGGGTGTCAAATCCCTCCACATCCAGCTGCCTCCTGCCTCCTCAAATCACACCTATTAGAGCCAGCAGGCCCCGTGGTGACCCAGCTGGGCCACTGTGTCTGTCTGTCTAGGGTAGTGTGTGTGTGTGTGTCCAGGGTAGGAGGGGAGGGGGGGAGGGGGGAGGGGGGCAGCTGGCTAGGCTGAAGCATGTGGAGCAAAGCATCTCACCACCACTCCCTGTGAGAATGTGATTAGATTGCAGTGCTGCCAAAATCACCACACTGGATCTCACACAAATTCACTGAGAGGCACATATAATCAGGCAGAGCTGTGCGTACACACACACACACACACACAGTGTTAACAAATACTATTTTAAACCAAACTACATTACTATTCTAAACAAATTGATACTAACATAAGGGTTGGGTATGGGTCGGGGATGTCTCTGTCAGAGATGTGGGGCTGAGATTAGTTTTGGCAGGCGCTGCACAGTGGGGACCATGGCCTAATTTGACCTGCCGTGGCGGAGGGACAAGTCCCCACTCACAGGGGGCAACAGCAAGCTACCCTGGCAGCGTTCTGCTCTGAGACCACCACCTGGCAACTACTTGACAACCAAAAATAGCATATATAATGAGTCTCCCAGATAATCCTGTCATAGGGAGAGGAGCAAAAGCAACCCTAGATGTCAATCAATCCGTGAAATAAGATTGTTATATTGTTGAGGCTAGATGTGTTTCTATTCTTCTAGATCAGGGATGGTCAAGCCTTCTGGGGGGGGCTATTGGGTGTGCAGGCTTTTGCATCAGCCATGCTCTAACACACTTGATTCAACTGCAGGACATTGATTCGCTGATGTGTTAGAGCAGGGCTGGAGCAAAAGCCTGCACACCCAATAGCTCTCCAGGAAGGGTTGGCCACCTCTGCTTTGGATATTGGAATGTCACGTCTGATACAAAGGAATTGGATAACAAAGTCAAGCCATATCTAATCAGTCTGAGTCTTAATGCAATTCGTTGTAGGGACCTGAAGTGTTAAACAACGTGCATAGCTACTTTCCTTTGCAAATGAGAATAGAAATATGTCTAATATAAATTATACTGGTAGTGAGACGCGGGAGGATTCTGACTTCCCACAGTGCAAGTGGCAGGCTGTGACAGACCATCAGGGATCAGTGCAGGGAGGGGGGGACGACGAAAAAAGTGAATTGTCAACTTCAATCCATGTCACAACTTCAGCAACCCTGTGAGAGCAGCTGAAATTGTTCACTTCTTCAATGCCCAGGGCTCTCTGAGCAGCAGTCATTTTGGTTGACTAGCACAGGGCAGGGCACGCATTGTAACCTAGGTTACCGTCTCACTTCTAGAAAATGACAACTATCAGCTCCACGCCACTGCTCAGAATAGAACAAATGTGTAGTTTTACTGTTTACTCTTGAGTAGTTACATTTCACACAGACATTAAAGTCAAATTAGGCAAGACACCGGAGGATGAGGAACCCCCTTATCGTGGTGAATTGGCATGCCGGTTAGGCGTTTCGCTAAAGCCCAAGGCGCCACGTCGCTTCACAATTTCATTAGCAGCAAATCCCATCTGCTTTATAAAGTCATCAGATTCCTCGAAACGCCTCGCCAATATGCCAAATAAGCTGGCTGGCAGCACTCTGTGTGTGTGTGTGTGTGTGTGTGTGTGTGTGTGTGTGTGTACTGCGTACACGCTATGGCTTCCTGGGGTTCTATATTTTTTTCTTCCTCCTATTTTGTGTCAAAGATTAAAAATAGCAAGCAGCCTTCTGCAGAATAAGCACTTCATGGATTCTGGCTTTGATGCGGTTTGCTTGGAGAGGCCAGCTGCCACCTGAATGTGGGGAAAACTGAATCTGAATACCTTAGCAGGGTCTGGACTTTGGCTGTAAGAGTGTGTGTCTCAGAATTGTGGGGCAAGTACATGAAACTTTTTTGTGTGACAAAATGTGTCTGTGTGTTTATGTACAAAAGTGTAGTGCAACCGTGTGGATGAAGTAAGTGTGTGTGTGTGTGTGTGTGTGTGTGTGGTTATGCAGCTGGTAAACAAAGCTTTATAAGAGTAGACAACCATGACAATCAGTTCATTGAGAAAACAAGGACATTGACATTCCTCAGGCAGCACTGAGGCCCATATTGATTATAAAAGTCTGTGCTCCTATGCAACAACTTGGACATGTGACACTGCAAGATATGACATTCAAAAAACAAAGTCTGTCAAGCTCATTCAAATGGATTTTAAATTCAAAATTATTTATAAATATTCCATATAAGGCACATGCAGTCACAAGCCAACGTCTACTTTTCCATTAGAAACAGAATAAGAAAAGGGCTCCATAATTGATTAGTGACTAACTATAATCTATATACATAAAGCTATATCAATACAAAACAAATACATTAGTGTGTTTACAAACTCTGGACCAATGTCTTTCACAGATTTCCATGCAAATCTATTACATTAATCACACTAAACTCACAGTGGCTCCTGTATGTGGACAACAGTAAAAAATAAATAAATAAACACTCATTTAACTAGCAACCCTTAGGAATAAACAGGAAGCAAACAGCTGGGATTATCCTACCATGGAGGCAGTTTGGGGGGGGGACTTTGCTATCTTTGCTATTTTCTTTGCTAAATTACTCCTGTAGGACATTAGACTTGCAAGTGGATTGATTTCCAGATTGTCTGCTCTTTTCAGAGCAACAACACTATCTAGATGCAAAGTACACTCCAGGCTCTGACTGTCAATGGGAGGCTGAGGAAGTGTTTTCCCTATACATTCTATAGACTCACGCAATGAATGGCTGGGAGCACAAAAGGGGGGTTGGTCTACGTTGTGGAAATGTTGCTAGTCAGTAGTAAAGCAACCAAGATAAACATCACTTTTCAATGATTGCCGCTATGGCAACTGTCACTCTGTCCTGATTGACAGTGCAGGTCCCACCCATCTATGCCGCCCCAGTCTGGGGTCTTAAATATGGAAGCTGGCTTAGAGGCATCTTCTGTCTCAGGGAGTCCAGTAGGCTCCACTGCTTGAGCATGGCAGATCGAATGACCCGCCTCAAGGGTGTAGTCTATGGTAGCTTGCCTTACAGGCAGCTGTGGGAGGTTACCCAAGTCTGACTCCACCTCTAAGGGTGGGGCGTCGAGCGCCAGGGCCGCCTCCTCTCCCTCCTCCACTGTGGAGCCCAGCTCCTCGTCCTCTTCCACTTTCACCTCATGCCCCTCCTCCTCCACGGGACTCCGCCCCTCTTCCAGCTCCGAGGCTGCCTGCTCCTCCGACAGCGTCACAATCTCCACTCCCCGCCTGTCACTCAGGCAGACGCAGTTAGCCTCTGCCCCGTCACTGGGCTCGGGTGCGCCCTCCCCGCCAAAGCCATCTGCGCCAAAGTCACCGCCAGCTGTGGCCCGTTCCCACGACGACGCTCCCATTCTGTCGTCTAGTCACATTGGGAGAGAGGAGAAGAGTTCATTGTGGGAGTGTAGTTATAATGAAGTTGTAACTCCCTCTAAACTCTACCTCTCGAGTGATAAACTGTCCTCCTGTAAAGCTACTGGGTGTCCAGGCATTTCCTCCTGCCCTGCTCCAAAACAGCTGGTTCGGCTAATCAAGGTTGAAGAAGCCCATTGGTAAACTAGGTTGAGCTGTTCCTACTACATTGCTTATACAGTACCTAAACAGTCATATCGGGGCCAGTATTCATAAAGTGCCTCAGAGTAGGAGTACTGATCTAGGATCAGTTTTGCTTTTCAGATCATAATGAACAAGATCATATGGACAGAGGGGACCTGATCCTAGATCAGCACTTCAAACACCAACGGGTTCGGTGCTAGGGGATGCAGTCTGCTGATATTTGCATGTAGCAGTAATGCTTGATAGTGGTCAAAGACTGAGTGGTGACCCAACCAAATTCCTGTTGGTCCTTAATCCGCATGCTATATCCAACCAGCCTGGGTGTATGTAGAGCTGTGTAAATGGATAATGTATGAGTGTAAGCTATGTAAATCAACCAAGTTAAGTGAGTGAGTCTGCGGTGTGAACGTTACGGACATGCAAAATAACTCCACATTACTCTGAGCACCTGTAAAAAGTTGATTGTTCCTTTAAAATTGACAGAGAATTAAGATGACATTACAGGATTGCATAACTAACTACCCCAACTTTTCTTTGGAGTTGGGGGGCTGTGTCAATTGACAAAGTTATTTCAATAAATTGTGACTCAAGCACTTCCATGGCAACAGGCTAAACATAGCGACGCCCCCTGCTTCCTCTCCAAAATATTCTCCCATTCCGCAGATTACTGTCCCATATTTGTGAATGTTCAGTCAAAAAGGTTAAAGACAGACCGCAGAGTACACTTGCCCCCACAAGAGAGAGAAAAAAAATGTCACGCCAGCATCCATATTTATGGTGCCCCTCCTTCCAAAAACACACCCCAACTTTTTGAATGTCAGTGGACGAGAATTGTGCTCACATTTCCAAAATGCCATGGCATTTGAGGAGCATCAGGTACTTATCAGTCAGCACCAATGAGAGGCCAGCATTGGAGGAGAGGCGGGAAAGGGGACTGGGCGCAAAATGAAGAAGGCTGTGGGGAGAGGGGGATGGAGCTAATTACAGCGTTTTAGCCGCTGCCCAAGGGCGACGTTTAACGAACGGCGAAGCCCAGTTACACACAATTACACACTCACCTTTGGGTGGCTGCATTGCTGCATGCGTGTGGGGCTGAGGTGGGCACGGCATGATGCTGGGCGATAGGAGCTCGGTTCGCTGGCTCTCGCTCAGCGTAATGGTGTCTCGTCCCCCTGTTAACCCAACAACCCCACAGCGGAACAAGAGTTACCTTCCGGGGAATTTTTCCCCACCCTGTCAGAAAATAAAAATACCCAACAGACACAGATGCTAAAAACATGAGGGTGGTTTTCTAAAGGTACTTGTGTAAGCAGGTAAGGAAGGGGCATGCTTCTACACACAGATAAAGTCATAATCATCCAAATGCGCGCGCACACACGCACACACACACACACACACACACACACACACAAACACACACACACACACACACACACACACACACACACACAACTGTGCTCACAGGAAGTGGCTGCAGTTCCCTGTCATCAGTCTTCATTAGTGATGGCTGCATGCCTCCTGGGCTGACGCCATATGCTACTCACAGGGGACCGTGCACCGTATACCAGACATCACACACACACACACACACACACACACACACCCATGCACGCACAAACACACACACACACATTCACTCGACACAAACCACTTCTAGGGCCACTCAAGTGTGAAACACGAACAAAAACATTAAAACAAATATAAATAAAAACAGAAACAGAAGAATGCTAAAAATGGATGGCAGCATGTGAAACATGTTAACTATCAAGCATGAATGGGACACAAACACTTATGTTATGAATGCAGGGCACTGCTCATATTTTCTATAGTCACCAGGGGTTGGGGTCAATTCCACTTCACCTCAATCTATGGCAATGGATGCACATCGTACTTTGATTGGCTTGTGAAGTTTCCCCTTTTTCTTTCCTCGAAAGCAGTTTATGAAAAAGGACTCTGCAACTTCGTTTCTGTACATCTCATTTCACAAATTAGCATATTCGTATTTTAAAGAATGCCCATTGGGAAACATGCAATGGCAAGGCTCAGTATTACTTCAAACTTTCATCTGGACGCTAGCCCTCATACAGGCTGAGAGCCTTGCTCGTTCTGAGTTGAGAGGGCCTTTGGTGACTTGTGAGTTTCTCAGGCTGCTTTTTAAAGCCAGTAATAAAGTGGTGATTATGTATGCAGAGCAGGGCCTGTGCTGAACGCAGCAGGTCTTCAGCACACACCGTGCTCAGGAGGAGGTATGGAGGAGTGGGTTTATACCCTCCTGACAGCTGCCCATCCATCCGTCCATTCCTCCTCTCACAGACACACACACACACACGTGCACATGCGCATACACAAACACACAGAGATGAATAACTGCACAAACACACTCTTGTATACACTCATATACACAAAACACACCAAGGCACACACACACACGCACGCACGCACGCACGCACTAAGAGACAGATATCCCATCTCGCACGCACATATGCATGAAGCCATTAATCCTGTAGCCTATTTCTGCCCAAACATATCCTACATACCTTCTCCTCACACATACTAAAACAAAGATAGTAGAGAGGTACCAAAATAAGTACTACCTCCACAAATAGAATTGCATCCACCTTTAAACTGACACCCACACAATAACACCCAATACTGTAGGCCTATCTCCCTCATCCAAACAGACATCTGACATCTCTCTGGTACCCAGCTTCTCTAGTCCCTACAGTCACACCAGGGGGGGGGTCACCCGTCTCCTATTTTGACAACAAGGCAGGTCTGTCACATCCGAGACACCGTCTTCGTGAGATGCCGGCCCGCGCCATCACTGACGTTAATCCGCGGAGAGGTGGCAACAACGACAGGGAAAAGTGAGGGAGAGAAATCTTTGTTCAAAAATACCTGGGTAATGATATGTCTTTCTATCAGGGCATTGCACCCTGTATCTTCTCCAGTGTAGTAGGCTACTGTATATGCGAGTCTCGCCCCGTTTGCAATCGAGTCTGGTTGATGCGCCCAGACAGGCTTTCAGTCTGCATGTATTCCAGCGCTCATTGAACAGGGGATCGCTCCCTGGGGGGTTTGGGTAGTCGAGTCAATCACAAGTCTATTTGAGTGAATCGCTGTGTTTTTTTCTGTCCCTTTTAACTTGTCTTTCGGGAACAACGACACATGGCACCTCTAATGTTTTGACTCGGGGCCTGCCCCCAATCGGCCCCTCTTTCTGTTGTTGTTTTTTCCTCGCCCCGTCGTGTCTGTCCATCTCGACAAAGCCACTCTCTCTCTTAATCTCCATCTCGTCCTCTCTCTCTGCCCCACGCCGGTTGTGGTGGTGGACAGAGTCATGAGGCACTTTGGGCCTCGTCTACAAATTCCCTAATAACAGCACATTCCCCTAAATGTGTTTGTAATGTGGGCAATCATTTTCAGTAATGGATGCTTGTCAGTTTTATGGCAGGGAGAATGACAGGCGAGCTTCATCGAGCTACAGCTCGCCGCCTAAATCCCACCGGTGTACTTTAAACACAGCACAACACCCCCCTCTGGTGCACACTGGAGAAACTGTTCTAAAATCTCAAGGTCTGACTGGCACGTCTCTGCATGGTACATTTGCTGTTCTTTCCATTAGATTGAGGGAAGCTATGTTAAGCTAGTTCAGGTATTTACTAATCATACGCTTAAAAAGTTACAGTCTATTTCAGTATTTGAAAGCAGTGGGAATTGCCCATTTATCAGGACTCTGGCTTGATGCTGTTATGGGATTTGTCCTTGCGGGGGAAATAGCTCCCCAAATTACCTGTCATTCATTACCAGTATTTTTGGAACGCATATATTTGTCCTGTTTCACTGCATGTTCAAGAGTTGTGTCACGGCAAGGGATCAGCCATTATTTACGGCGACCCTGGAGCAATTAGGGTTAAGTGCAGATAAACAGGGCTCAAGGGCAGATCGACAGATTTTTCATCTTGTCGACACGGGGATTCAAACTATACTGAACAAAAATATAAACACAACATGTATAGTTTTGGTTCCATGTTTAATGAGCTGAAACAAAAAACGTATTTCTCGCAAATTTGGTGCACAAATTTGTTAACATCCCCGTTAGTGAGCATTTCTCCTTTGCCAAGATAATCCAGCCACCTGACAGGTGTGGCATATCAAGACGCTGATTAAACAGCATGATCATTACACAGGTGCACCTTGTGCTGGGGACAATAAAAGGCCACTCTAAAATGTGCAGTTTTGTCACACAACACAATGCCACAGATGTCTCAAGTTTTGAGGGAGTGTGCAATTGGCATGCTGACTGCAGGAATGTCCACCAGAGCTATTGCCAGAGAATTTAATATTCATTTCTCTACCATAAGCCACAGCCAACGTCGTTTTAGAGAATTTGGCAGTACGTCCAACCAGCCTCACAACCACAGACCATGTGTAACCATGCCAGCCCAGGACCTCCACATCCGGCTTCTTCACCTGCAGAATCATCTGAGACAAGCCACCCGGACAGCTGATGAAACTGTGTGTTTGCACAACCAAAGAAATTCTGCACCAACAGTCAGAAACCGTCTCAAGGAAGCTCATCTGCGTGCTCGTTGTCCTCACCAGGGTCTTGACCTGACTGCAGTTTAGCGTCGTAACCGACTTCAGTGGGCAAATGCTCACCTTCGATGGCCACTGGCACACTGGAGAAGTGTGCTCTTCATGGATGAATTTCGGTTTCAACTGTACCGGGCAGATGGCAGACAGCGTCATGTGGGCGAGCAGTTTGCTGATGTCAACGTTGTGAACAGAGTGCCCCATGGTGGCGGTGGGGTTATGGTATGGGCAGGCATAAACTATAGACAACGAACACAATTGTATTTTATCTATGGCAATTTGAATGCACAGAGATACCGCGACGAGATCCTGAGGCCCATTGTCGTGCCATTCATCCGCCACCATCACCTCATGTCTCAGCATGATAATGCATGGCCCCATGTTGCAAGGATCTGTACACAATTCCTGGAAGCTGAAAATGTCCCAGTTCTTCCATGGCCTGCATACTCCCCAGACATGTCACCTATTGAGCACGTTTGGGATGCTCTAGATTGACATGTACGACAGCGTGTTACAGTTCCCGCCAATATCCAGCAGCTTTGCACAGCTGTTGAAGAGGAGTGGGACAACATTCCACAGGCCACAATCAACAGCCTGATCAACTCTACTGTATGCGAAGGAGATGTGTCACGCTGCATGAGGCAAATGGTGGTCACACCAGATACGGACTGGTTTTCTCACCACGCCCCTGCCTTGTGAAATCCCACTTCCCAGTCATGTGAAATCCATAGATTAGGGCCTAATTAACTTATTTAAATTCACTGATTTCCTTATATGAATTGTAACTCAGTAAAATCTTTGAAATTGTTGCATGTTGCGTTTATATTTGTGTTCAGTGTAGCAACCTTTTGGTTACTGGCCCAGCGCTCTAACCGCTAGGTTACCTACCTGTAGTTCTACCTACATTCAAATATACACAAAAGATGGATTCACCTTTTATTCTGATAAAAGGAACAGTAAGTAGTCTCTCAGGACAGACTGTTAACACAAATGTTATGAATCGAGTAACCAAACTGAGTAGGTGGCCATTGTGCAAGTGTGATTTAGCTCTGGGTTCCGAGGTTAAGCTGTAAGTGACTATGTACAGCAGGTGAGAAGATCCCAACAGGTGACATGAATGCACAAGGAGTGGCCTTGGGCTGGAATGGAGGTAGCATTAGGACGGTGGGTATGAGATGGCAGTTTTGGGAGGATGCCCAGGTTTGTTCTGGCATGGCACAATGGAGGGCATGGGCTAAGAAAGGCAGTATATACAGAACACATACTCCGTATTCCCAGAGAAACGTGGTAGGTCATGCCTGTAGGCAGCCGCAGCCAGGGAGGAGATACCCAGTTAATAACACACCATTTCATTGGTCAGTTCACCACCAATTGGTCAGTTCATTCAATTTAGTTTTTCTCAGTAGGTAAAGCTGGGTAACATTTCATCATACAGTCCCATTGGAGCTAGCATTAACCAGATATTTGCAAATAAATGTTGGTAGACACAGTGTGTTTGCTAATGGTGTGGTGCATTGTTCTCTATAGTGTTATTTAGCTGCTAAATCTAGTATTATCCACCCAAGCAAAACCCCACTGTCTATGATTTACACTCATGTCAAAAACAGTCAATGCGTTTGAACAACATTATTGTAACCAACCTGGAAGACTCCACAAGCCGGACACCTCTAAGGTCTTCAACTTCCCCTCCAGCTCAGCAACTCGATTCCCCAGAATCCTGTGTGGAGAAGATAAGCTGGAGGGTGAGTCACATGGTCCCTCATGGCCCAGTGGCCAGACTGTAAACTAAGTGTGTCTCCACTGTTTGACTAGGAGGAGTGGAGAACATTGTGTGGCGAGGTATATGAACTTACTATGGTTAAAGGTCAATGGAGATGAAGCACACCAGACGTAAATAAAGGATATTAAAGAATAAGAAAGGGACTGTGTGGACTGTGTGTGCGTGTGTGTGTCTAGGCCTGTGTGTATTGTAGAAATGTGTATGTGCCAGTGTGTATACCGATTGGTGTGTCTCTGGTGCTGAATGACCAGGTTCTTCTCATGGATGGTCTCCAGCAGGGCCGTGGCCAGGGACTTGAGGTCAGAGATGGACTTGGGCGTGGCCGGGAGACTGCAGCCCTGCTCCTCAGACAACAACTCCTGCACTGCAGACAGACAGACAGACAGACAGACAGACAGACAGACAGACAGACAGACAGACAGACAGACAGACAGACAGACAGACAGACAGACAGACAGACAGAGAGAGCAAGGGAGGGGGGGATCGCAGGAAGAGGGGTAAAGAAAGGGGGAATAGAGGGGAAAGAGGAGTAAGTGAGGAGAGAGTCGGTGAGAAGGAAATGAAAGAGAGGAAGGGAGAGACGGGAATAGAGAGAGTAGAAGAAGAGAGGGGGAGGACGGAAGTAAATCAGTGTGAGGAGGGAGATGAAAACAGATAGCGAGACCGACAAAAATAGGAGAAACAGTATTTAGACAGGAGCGACACACAGGATAGATGAGAAGGATAAAGAAAGAAAGAAAGAAAAAGCGAGAGAGTGAGTGAAAGAGTGACAGAGAGATAGAAACAGCTGTCTGTATAATAGGTTACCTCCCTGCTTCCTCTAGCTTTAACTGCTGCCCTACTGTGCTGGCTCTGCCGAGAACTGTCAATCAAGACCTATGCTTTGTGTCTCTGCCAGAACTCTGAATACAAAGTAGGACAAGTCTCAGGTGTTTCAAAAGTTAGTCACTGGAGACTAACATAACTCTAATGTTGAAATAATGTCTACTTAAGACAGAATGGGAATTACAGGTGCTTTTTTATCTGGAACTCTGGTGCAGTAGAATACATATGATAGGCTTTCACAAGAGTTGAAAATGGTTTCCACACGTCAGTGTGCTAATGTAGCTTGATTTCTTCAAGTAAATAATGTAATGCAACTCGCACTGCCACGCTACAATACCTGCTATACAGGTTCTAGAATAGATCCTTCGAATCTCAGAGAAGGTTAAATCATTGCAGTGGGCTTGCACTCACTAGCTAGTTAGTTCACATCTTCTATACTTATGCTTCACTGGGCTATGCATGACCTAGATTCAATGACAGAGGGACAGAGGAGATCACTTAGAAAGTTCCTAACTGCTGTTCTCGGATCAGTTGCTCTGACCAGCATCCTTAGCTTACTCACTACAGAGCTACCAGTCTGAATTTGGACCTGCCATGTGGTAGCTGGACATATCTGTATGCGACGGTGGTGTACCTTGTTTGGCAGAGAGCACTCCTGTTAGAGCACTGCTGTTGGACTTCCCAGACAATTTAGAGCTCTTCCTCCTCTCCAATGCAGTCTGCAAAACAAACACACCCACCTTTATCAGCTGTCATCTCTATCAACTCTAACTTTCTTTGGGACTGTCAAGCGACACTAGCTAGAATTAAATGTAATTGCAATGCAATGTTGACACAGCGCCTTTGTTTACTGCATGCACACACACACACCTTATTCTGAAGTATCTACCCGTGAGGGGAGTCTAACTGATGGTAAAATAGTTGTTACTGCAATGCGGGTAGGATCGAATTGAGCCCACTGTTACAGACAGACAGAATGACAGAGACAGACACCTCACTACCTTGTATTTCATGATATTGGACTTCAGCAAGTTGACCTCCTCTTGGACTTGGTTGAACCTCTCATGTAAATACCTGACAGAGGGCAAAAATAGCCTTAGATTAATGTATTCAGCAAAAAAAAAAAAAAATGCCGCAAACAACAATTCTTCAACTAGAAACACACACAGAACACCCTATGCCAACCTGGAATAACATGACATTGAAATAGTGCCAACCTCGCAGTGTATGAAAATGTCTCCTTTTATGCTGTACAGTAGTAAAAAAAAATGTGTGCATAGCCTAATATACATTGGGGGTAATTGAATTGTGTTGAATACTGTGTGACATGTGGCATGTCGTTTTTACCTACCTTAATTGAATGCACTGACTGTAAGTTGCTCTTAATAAGAGCTTCTGCTAAATTACTCAACTGTAATGTAAAATGTAATACTAGCAGAGAAAAGTCCACCACCTTTCCCCCCCTCACCTGTTCTCCATACAGAGGGCGTCCACATCGATGATACGGGTCTCGTGGCCGCCCAGGATATGGTTGAGCTCCAGGTTGAGGCGCTCAGCCTTCTCACTGAACACAACACGTTCTGCCTTAACGTCCTCCAGCTCGTCAGTCAGCGCCTTAACACTGTTCTCCAGCTCCTCCATCTGAACACACACACACACAGACACAGAGAGAGACACAGAGAGAGAGAGAGACACACAGACACAGAGAGAGAGAGAGACAGCGAGAGAGAGAGAGAGAGACAGTGAGCGAGAGAAACAGCGTGAGAGAAAGTGAATAGGACACGGTTGTCTCCTATCTTCCATTTTTGAACTATTCTGAAAGTGCTGAAGAAGGAGAGGCACTTGTCGTGTTCATTAGGGCACGATGTAGCATAGCGTTTTGAAACTAAAAATGAAAAAATTGCAATCTCATTGGACAAGATCCCTTCCTACCTGTAGCCCTGCCTTCTCCAGTTGGTGGACCAGGTCTTCTCTCTCATGGGCGGGGAAGTGGCGTGCCCCCACCTCCTCATCCCCTAGCCTCTGTCTGGTGATGGTCATCCTCAGCAGCTGTGGACCAGGGAGAGACGGGTCAAATAGAGGGAGGAACAGATTCACTTTGAGTTAGTATGAGAGCTAGAGATGCATGTGTGTGTGTGTGTGTATGTTTGATGCCCTACCTTGTTATCCCCCTGGGCCTCTACCAGTCTCTGATTCAGCTCCTTCAGCTCCTCGGCTAGCTGTTTCCCTCGCTCCCTTGCATTTCTCAACAGCTGAGCCAAGTTCACCTGGGGAGAGGTCAGAGAGATCGAATGCTTTTATTAATCCATACGAGACATAAATATCTTCTGCTGTACCCAACCCCTCAGACACACACACACACACACACAAGGTTGGAGAGGCTGAAAAAAAAAACTATTTTCTACATTGTAGAATAATAGTGAAGACTTTATGAAATAACACATATGGAATCATGTAGTAACCAAGAAAGTGTTAAACAAATCAAAATATATTTGATATTTGAGATTCTTCAAATAGCCACCCTTTACCTTGATCACAGCTTTGCACACTCTTGGCATTCTCTCAACCAGCTTCACCTGGAATGCTTTTCCAACAGTCTTGAAGGAGTTCCCACATATGCTGAGCACTTGTTGGCTGCTTTTCCTTCACTCTGCTGTCCGACTCATCCCAAACCATCTCAATTGGATTGAGGTCAGGGGATTGTGGAGGCCAGGTCATCTGATGCAGCACTCCATCACTCTCCTTCTTAGTAAAATAGCCCTTACACAGCCTGGAGGTGTGTTGGGTCATTGTCCTGTTGAAAAACAAATTATAGTCCCACTAAGCCCAAACCAGAAGGGATGGTGTATTGCTGCAGAATGCTGTGGTAGCCATGCTGGTTCAGTGTGAATTCTAAATAAATCACAGACAATGTCACCAGCAAAGCACCCCTTGACCATAACACCTCCTCCTCCATGCTTTACGGTGGGAAATACAAAATGCGGAGATCATCCGTTCATCCACACCGCGTCTCACAAAGCCACGCTGGTTGGAACCAAAAATCTCAAATTTGGACTCCAGACTGATTTCCACCAGTCTAATGTCCATTGCTCGTGTTTCTTGGCCCAAGCACGTCTCTTCTTATTGGTGTCCTTTAGTAGTGGTTTCTTTGCAGCAATTCAACCATGGAGGCCTGATTCACACAGTCTCCTCTGAACAGCTGATGTTGAGATGTGTGTTACTTGAACTCTGAAGCATTTATTTGGGCTGCAATTTCTGAGGCTGGTAATTCTAATGAACTTATCCTCTGCAGCAGAGGTAACTCTGGGTCTTCCTTTCCTGTGGCGGTCCTCATGAGAGCCAGTTTAATCATAGCGCTTGATGGTTTTTGTGACTGCACTTGAAGAAACTTTCCGGATTGACTGACCTTCATGTCTTAAAGTAATGATGGACTGTTGTTTCTCTTTGCTTATTTGAGCAGTTCTTGCCATAATATGGACTTATTCTTTTACCAAATAGGGCTATCTTCTGTAAACCCCCCCTACCTTGTCACAACACAACTGATTGGCTCAAATGCATTAAGAAGGAAAATAAATTCCACAAATTAACATTTAAGAAGGCACACCTGTTAATTGAATTGCATTCCAGGTGACTACCTCATGAAGCTGGTTGAGAGAATGTCAAGAGTGTGCAAAGCTGTCATCAAGGCAAAGGGTGGCTATTTGAAGAATCTCAAATAGAAAATATATTTTGATTTGTTTAACACTTTTTGGGTTACTACATGATTCCATATGTGTTATTTCATAGTTATGATGTCTTCACTATTATTCTACAATGTAAGAAATAGTAATAATAAAGAAAAACCCTTGAATGAGTAGCTGTGTCCAAACGTTTGACTGTTAGTGTATATAACATATGCTATAGTTTGAGGGATATAGCATGGGCATTAGAGACAGCTCAACTTACCTGGTTGCGTTTTTCAGGTGGTAAAGAAGGATCTCCATCCTGAAAGAAATACAAACATTTTACTATAAGGTGATTTAGACCATGAACAGTGGTCCCATTGTTTTGCACTCAAAATACTAATGCTAAGCTCTATCAAATTTAACAAACATTCATGGGTCATTGATTTTCCAGGTCCATAAACCACATTTTAGAAACCATTAAAAAAAGTCAAAGTAGTCATTTGGCCGGACTATCACTTTAAGACAAATCATTACAGATAAAGAAGAGTTCTAAACATTGAACATAAATCCTATAGACAGACTCACAATGAGCTCCCTGTACTTCTTCTTGAGTCCCTGGTGGTGTTCTCGCAGCTGGTTGGCCATCAGCTTGTACTGGTCTCTCTCCTGTTGACAGGTGTCCAGCTCTTTGGACAGGATCAGAAGGGCCTCCTTCTTGCTGTCCAGCTTACGCTTACACACCAGGAACTAAGAAACAATATAGGGGAGGGTACGGAATGGGACGTAACACCGGTTCCTATTGTGAATGCTTAAGTTACATGTTCAGATGTCAAAGGAAAAAACTATTGTTCCTGTTGTGATAAAAAGTGTAAGGATAGGTTTGTATTTCAGAAAGTGTGGGCTTTGCGCCAATAGTGTTGAATAGCTTTCATCTCATTTGATTCAAAGCTTTGAAAGGTGAAAAGAATATGGTGAAAAACTATCACGACCCTTTCATTAAGTTATTTAACAGGAAAAGGAAATTAGGAAACTGTAAATAGTTCAGCAGTTATAACCATGGTACTACTTTCCAATTAATCTCAACATCAGGACATGGCCAAAGTGCTTTGGTAGAAAAAGTTTAAAGTTGAAGTTAAGCAAATACAATACAGTCTATCAGATATCTGGGTGGATGTAATTTACATTCTATGTGCTTTTATTTCCATAAGAACAGTTTGTTGAGTTAAGAGCTACCCAGAAGAGTGGCTTACGTGTTTGATGTGTTGAAAGTAATACGTTTCCTGTATGACTCTATGGACCTGTACTTGTGACAACTAGCTTCAACATCTTTTAGTGAAATTCCCAGTGAATTGCAATTCACCTTTTATAGTTGTGTATCCCATAGATTCCGTCTGCAGCAGACAACTGAATTAAATACTTCTGATGTAAGACCAAGTAGCAGTTTTTAAGATTTGGTGAAAACCACAATTTTTTGCATACACATTATACTGACAATTCGAGACCTTGGGACTATAATGTTCTATCTGCGCAAAGCATAGTTCTGAGATATTCAGTATTAAAGTTTTCACATCCCAGATCTCAGAACTGTTTTGTAGTGAATTCTTCTTTCATAACCCATCAAGGTTCTAACCTTAAAAAGGTACACAAAGTGCAGAGCATCAAAATCCTAAGACATTCGTAAATCCGTTTTTTTTACGGGGGTGCAATCGCAGACCGAACCGTATGCCTCTGAAATGTCATTTAGGATTCAGCCATAACGTTCTATCTGGCCCAGAAAGTTAACCTTATTTCAATAGAAAACACCAGACATTTAATGATTAAATAAAGACAATACCCTTCCTTCTTTCTAATCACATCATCAAATTCATGTTCATCACACATTTGTTAAAGCGATATTTCCCTAAAATGATAAATACACCTTATCCTATGGATAACTAGCAACATTGCTAAAGTTTAGCTCTGAATGAGTAAACTGATATATTTTTCTGGTCTCTGACACCCAAAGTCAGTAAACTTGGTAATAAAATGTGGTAAGTTTGTAATTTCTGTGAAATACCTCTTCCATGGAGGTTTTCGTATTGAAATAGGACAAGACAAAAACAGCAATGCCTCTTCTAAGGGCCTTAAACATGCTCTAATGCACCTGTATTGGGGGGGGGGGGGGGGGGGGGTTACCATAAAGAGCTTATTCTTCTGAAAAAGTGATTTAATTTTGTTTATATAATTTCTAAAGGAGGACCAGAACCTATGATATTAATAATCAAGGACTTGAGACTATAAGGTTCTATCTGCAAAATGCATAGTTTTGAGATAGAGTATTTTTCAAGTCCCAAATCTCAGAACTGTTTTGTGATGTCTTCCTCTTTCATGACTCAATAAGTATATCACCTTACATACAAGTACAGTGCATTCGGAAAGTATTCAGAACCCCTTGACTTTTTTCACATTTTGTTACGTTACTGCCTTATTCTAGAATGGATGAAAATATTTATTTTTTCTCATCAATCTACACACAATACCCCATAATGACAAAGCAAAAACAGGTTTATAGAAATGTTTGCTAATTTATATTTAAAAAATATATTTGAAATCTAATTTACATAAGTATTCAGACCCTTTACTCAGTACTTTGTTGAAGCACCTTTGGCAGCGATTACAGCCTCGAGTCTTCTTGGGTATGACGCTACAAGCTTGGCACACCTGTATTTGGGGAGTTTCTCCCATTCTTCTCTGCAGATCCTCTCAAACTCTGTCAGGTTGGATGGGGAGCGTCGCTGCACAGCTATTTTCAGGTCTCTCCAGAGATGTTAGATCGGGTTAAAGTCCGAGCTCTGGCTGGGCCACTCAAGGACATTCAGAGACTTGTCCCAAAGCCACTCCTGCGCTGTCTTGGCTGTGTGCTTAGGGTCGTTGTCCTGTTGGAAGATAAACCTTCGCCCCAGTCTGAGGTCAAATCAAATCAAATTTTATTTGGCCACATGCGACGAATACAACAGGTGTAGACATTACCGTGAAATGCTTACTTACAGCCCTTAAACAACAACGCATTAATTTTTTTATAAAAAAGTAAAATAAAACAATAACAACAAAAATGTGTTGAGAAAAGAAGAGCAGAAGTAAAAGAAAATAACAGTAGGGAGGCTATATACAGGGGGGTACCGGTGCAGAGTCAATATGCGGGGGCACCGGCTAGTTGAGGTAGTTGAGGTAGTAGAGTTAATATGTACATGTGGGTAGAGTTAAAGTGACTATGCATAAATAATTAACAGAGTAGCAGAAGCGTAAAAAAAATGGGGTGGGGGTGGGGGGGGGGGGGCAGTGCAAATAGTCTGGGTAGCCATGATTAGCTGTTCAGGAGTCTTATGGCTTGGGGGTAGAAGCTGTAGAGAAGCCTTTTGGACCTAGACTTGGCGGTCCGGTACCGCTTGCCATGCGGTAGCAGAGAGAACAGTCTATGACTAGGGTGGCTGGAGTCTTTGACAATTTTGAGGGCCTTCCTCTGACACCGCCTGGTATAGAGGTCCTGGATGGCAGGAAGCTTAGCCCCAGTGATGTACTGGGCCGTACGCACTACCCTCTGTAGTGCCTTGCGGTCGGAGGCCGAGCAGTTGCCATACCAGGCAGTGATGCATCCAGTCAGGATGCTCTCAATGGTGCAGCTGTAGAACTTTTTGAGGATCTGAGGACCCATGCCAAATCTTTTCAGTCTCCTGAGGGGGAATAGGCTTTGTCGTGCCCTCTTCACGACTGTCTTGGTGTGTTTGGACCATGATAGTTTGTTGGCGATGTGGACTCCAAGGAACTTGAAGCTCTCAACCTGTTCCACTACAGCCCCGTCGATGAGAATGGGGGCGTGCTCAGTCCTCTTTTTTTTTCCTGTAGTACACAAACATCTCCTTTGTCTTGGTCACGTTGAGGGAGAGGTTGTTATTCTGGCACCACACGGCCAGGTCTCTGACCTCCCTATAGGCTGTCTCATCGTTGTCGGTGATCAGGCCTACCACTGTTGTATCGTCGGAAAACTTAATGATGGTATTGGAGTCGTGCCTGGCCATGCAGTCATGGGTGAACAGGGAGTACAGGAGGGGACTGAGCACGCACCCGAGGGGCCACCGTGTTGAGGATCAGCGTGGCAGATGTGTTGTTACCTACCCTTACCACCTGGGGGCGGCCCGTCAGGAAGTCCAGGATCCAGTTGCAGAGGGAGGGGTTTAGTCCCAGGATCCTTAGCTTAGTGATGAGCTTTGAGGGCACTATGGTGTTGAATGCTGAGCTGTAGTCAATGAATAGCATTCTCACATGGGTGTTCCTCTTGTCCAGATGGGAAAGGGCAGTGTGGAGTGCAATAGAGATTGCATCATCTGTGGATCTGTTGGGGCGGTATGCAAATTTGAGTGGGTCTAGGGTTTCTGGGATAATGGTGTTGATGTGAGCCATGACCAGCCTTTCAAAGCACTTCATGGCTACGGGTCGGTAGTCATTTAGGCAGGTTATCTTAGTGTCCTTGGGCACGGGGGACTATGGTGGTCTGCTTGAAACATAATATAAATAATATGCCATTTAGCAGACGCTTTTATCCAAAGCGACTTACAGTCGTGCGTGCATACATTTTTGTGTATGGGTGGTCCCGGGGATCGAACCCACTACCTTGGCGTTACAAGCGCCGTGCTCTACCAGCTGAGCTACATGTTGGTATTACAGACTCAGTCAGGGACATGTTGAAAATGTCAGTGAAGACACTTGCCAGTTGGTCAGCACATGCTCGGAGTACACGTCCTGATAATCCGTCTGGCCCTGCGGCCTTGTGAATGTTGACCTGCTTAAATGTCTTACTCACATTGGCTACGGAGAGCGTGATCACATAGTCATCTGGAACAGCTAGTTCTCTCATGCATGCTTCAGTGTTGCTTGCCTCGATTTGAGCATAGAAGTGGTTTAGCTCGTCTGGTAGGCTTGTGTCACTGGGCAGCTCGCGGCTGTGCTTCCCTTTGTAGTCTGTAATAGTTTTCAAGCCCTGCCACATCCGACGAGCGTCAGAGCCGGTGTAGTACGATTCAATCTTAGTCCTGTATTGACTCTTTGCCTGTTTGATGGTTCGTCTGAGGGCATAGCGGGATTTCTTATAAGCGTCCGGGTTAGAGTCCCGCTCCTTGAAAGCGGCAACTCTACCCTGGCTTCTGGTTGGGGTATGTACCTACGGTCACTGTGGGGACGACGTCATCGATGTACTTATTGATGAAGCCAGTGACTGATGTGGTGTACTCCTCAATGCTATCTGAAGAATCCCGGAACATGTTCCAGTCTGTGCTAGCAAAACAGTCCTGTAGCTTAGCATCTGCGTCATCTGACCACTTTTTTATTAACTGAGTCACTGGTGCTTCCTGCTTTAGTTTTTGCTTATAAGCAGGAATCAGGAGGTCCTGAGTACTCTGGAGCAGGTTTTCATCAAGGATCTCTGTACTTTGCTCCGTTCATCTTTCCCTCAATCCTGACTAGTCTCACAGTCCCTGCCGCTGAAAAACGTCCTCACAGCATGATGCCGCCACCACCATGCTTCACCGTAGGGATGGTGCCAGGTTTCCTCCAGACGTGACGCTTGGCATTCAGGCCAAAGAGTTCAATCTTGGTTTCATCAGACCAGAGAATCTTGTTTCTCATGGTCTGAGAGTCCTTTAGGTGCCTTTTGGCAAACTCCAAGCGGGCTGTCATGTGCCTTTTACTGAGGAGTGGCTTCCGTGTGGCCACTCTACCATAAAGGCCTGATTGGTGGAGTGCTACAGAGATGGTTGTCCTTCTGGAAGGTTCTCCCATCTCCACAGAGGAACTCTAGAGCTCTGTCAGAGTGACCATTGGGTTCTTGGTCACCTCCCTGACCAAGGCCCTTCTCCCCCGATTGCTCAGTTTGGCAGGGCGGCCAGCTCTAGGAAGAGTCTTGGTGGTTCCAAACTTCTTCCATTTAAGAATGATGGAGGCCACTGTGTTCTTGGGGACCTTCAATGCTACAGACATTTTTTGGTGCCCTTCCCTAGATCTGTGCCTCGACACAATCCTGTCTCGGAGCTCTACGGACAATTCATTCGACCTCATGGCTTGGTTTTTGCTCTGACATGCACTGTCAACCGTTGGGACCTCATATAGACAGGTGTGTGCCTTTCCAAATCATGTCAAATCAATTGAATTTACCACTCCAATCATGTTGTAGAGACAGCTCAAGGATGATCAATGGAAACAGGATGCACCTGAGCTCAATTTCATGTCTCATAGCAAAGGGTCTGAATACTTATGTAAATAAGGTATTTTTTGTAATTATTTTTTTTTTAATACATTTGCTAAAATTTCTAACAACCTGTTCTCACTTTGCCGTTATGGGGTAGTGTGTTGTAGATTGATGAATAAATAAATAAATGTAATCCATTTTAGGATATTGCTGTAACGTAACAAGATGTGGAAATAAGTCAAGGGGTCTGAATACTTTCTGAATGGACTGTGTGTTTTATTGACAATCCAGCATTGTGTGATTGCAGATAGAACCTTATAGCACCAAGTAAAAAGGTGTTTGCGCGGATAGAACTTTCTGATTCAATGTTTTTCATCGTAAATGTACATATCTCACATGTAAAGGACCACCTAAAAGAGCAACTATGTGAATAATTATTTTTTAACCAAAATGTCAGATGGGACTATAAGGTTCTAAGGTCATGAATTGGTACAGAAAAAACTAGTTCAAGAAATGAGCCCAATTATCGACTAAAATACATCTCATATACTGTAACACTCGTCAGCTAACAGTAACAGGTAAATCACCTGTAACTTGACTTATCACCAGTGTGGCTGCTAGCTCAGCCAGTTCAGCACTGATGAAAGAATAAACAGTTGGCTATGCACAGTATGCAGTGTGTAAAGAGAGAAGATAAGAAACACTGTGTGGACTATTAATGTGCAAACTTCCCCACACATACAGGAAGTCATGATAACAGGCATACTCAGTTATGCACAGGATATAGAAGAGAAAACCAGTAGTTGCCAAGTGTAATATCCGTAGTAAGGACAAGACACAGCCTTCTC